ACTTACACATCTCAAGTTGACGAAATTATTAACCGCTTCAGAATATTCGGATCCTTGACATTTATTTCCGATTAAAAAGTTTACAATATAATTTTAGCTACTAAAAAACTGTATTTATTATTATTAAGAGCAGTAATTTTGGCTAACATCCATGATATTAACCTTAACACCATTATGTTTTATTCGATTAATTAGGAAAAAGACTATACAGTTCATCTATATCAAATTTTTTTATATCTACCTTAACGAAACTCCAAAGGTATGGTTATTCTAATAAAAGTTCTCGGGCTAGGCCAATTTTTAATATTCTTACATTGTTGTAGTTTATATGCGCACGTTTCAGTTGAAAGAACACATTACTTTTCGAATGTCTTCCCACATCCACACTTAATATTAATCATTCTTCTACTGAATGAAATTTTATCCAAGTCAACTCTAAATAACACTCCAAGTCCAGTTCGCAAGGAAACTGATATGTGACTTACCAAGTCACCCACTACTTGATAGTTCATCGAATCGTAATGTTGCTATCCTACACGATAAAAAAATTGATATTAGATCAACCATTACTGGTCAGCTTTTAAATATGGTGTTTGCCACAGGAACTTGATTGGACATTATTATTATAGTTCCCAGGTGCGTTATGCAAGCGTTGTGTTGAAGTTTCTTTTTTCATGTTGCTAATATCACACCGTTTTTAACGTTTTTAATTATTGGAGGGGGCCTATAGATTACCTAATGGTGATACTTTAGGCCCGCTGCTTCTGTTTTCCTTAATGCAGGTTTGAAAATTATAAATATAAAGACAATTTGCACTTTTTGCATCATTTATTTAATTTCTACTTTATATTACTGCAGATGGGACGCACTATCAAAATGATATATGACGTAGATATTTGCAAGTTGCACTAAACTAAACTTTTCCGTGGAATTACGTTTAGTAAGTAATTTACCTCAGGGATGTCCGTATGAAAAGATTGTTGTTTTATGTTTATCTAGGAAGGAGCGTCAATCGATCCTTTTACACATACAGTGAAGACAATGTTGATAATAACATCGATTGGCAAAAATTTTATAACCTTGTCCAGATTAATTCAGTATTGAATTTACAAGACATCCTTTATTACATTTATCGTGGTGATTATTAGCATTTAATACTTAATGGCGAAATGCCTAGCGTACTGAAAAATGATTGATTAATATCTTCCGTTCTTTATCTAATAGACACACAAAAATGAAACAACCTTTTTATTAAATAAAATTACGTAAAAATTTTTTTATGATAATGATTCATATGAATTAAAATTAAATCGGATGTGGTAAGATGCAGTTTTGTAAATCTCTATTAATAAAGTTATGCCTACCAGGCCTTTTGATTTTTATTTGTAATTATAACAATAACAATTTAACTTATTATTAAGATAGTTCAGGGATAGGTTTTCTTTCTCAAATAAAATGATACCATTATTGATCCAATTGGCTGACTTCAACTTTGATTTCTATATCTTAAAATCTGAATCATTCAAATTTGTTAAATCATTTACTAGCTGACTAATTTATTTTAATGTTAAAGCATCTTGGTTGGAATCCACAAGGGCATCAAGTAAGTGTTTATATTTTCCAAGGATGAAAACTGGAACCGGTTTGAACCGGGATTTCTGATTTGAATATTCGACGGTTCGATTTGACCCAATTATCAGTTATGTAATTCAAACCATCGAACCATTTCAACAATTCGAGCTAAACTGTGTTTCAAAACACGACAAACTCTCAAAATTATGTATGCAAAGTTTTATTTCTCATAATACTTTGACTGACAAAATATTTCTCACTTCAAAAAAACAAAAAAACAAAAAAAAACAATTATTCAAAATACACAATAATCTTATCTGATATCTCAACATGTGATAATACGCGCGTATTGAATAAACTTGAAATTTTTTAATAAATTTTTGTATACTTTTGAAAGTTTGAAGTTCAAAATATCAGTTTTAATCGAAGGTCAATGTTTTTATGATTTCGTCATAATATACCCAACTACAATAGATTTAGAATTCTTGGTGACAATGTCTCATATTTTTAATGACTCGTTTGATTAGAATATTTAAATGTTTGATGGTTTGAACCAAGGTTGCTGGTTCGAACCTGAACGTTCGATTCGACCGGAAAGCTCAAATTATCAGACATTTGTTTGAAGGAAGAATTAAAAAAAAATCTAAGAATATTTATATAGAAAATTGTATTATCAAATCAGTTAATTTTTTTGAAGTTATAAACGGAAGTATTAATTAATTTTTCTTTGCTAATCTATACACTTTGCATTCTTCCAACAAATTAAAACCATCTCTAAGAAAGTTATTGTTATTTTCATAAGCCTTATTAGGATAATAGCAACGATAAGGTTCATTATTAATACTGTAATGTAATTTTAAATCACAGAAATGTATGGTACACTCATAAAGGTTCATATTTAAATTATAATCATGATATATTGCATGATGAGGTGTTTGGACTCTACTTAAAATTGAATTATTTAGTTGATTTTCATCAATTTTAAAAATAAAACTTTGATCTGTTTTAATATAATATCTTTCATATAGAGGTTTTTCTTTAATATTCCAACCAACTGGGTTGTAACCACCCACTAATTCACCTGTCTCTTTAATTTTCATAATTGCTACAGTTTTTTCAATATTATAACATTTCTGTTCAAATAATGATCTTGCAAATCCATCCAGATTTCCACTATAAATTAATCTAAAATCATATGGCATGTTATTTTCATTATAATGACCATTATTTTTTTGATCAATTCAATCAGAAATTAAAGTTTGTAATTTTAACTTTAATAATTTTGTTCTTGGTTTTTTTTGAAGTGATTGCCATGTACCGCCAAGATAATATTGGAGAAGTTTTCTATAAAATTCTTTGTTAAAAATTTTTTGATATGGTGCAATCTTGTTGTAAAAATTACTTAAGAAATATTGTTGAATCTAATTAATGGAATAATATCTTCCAATATATTTTTCAACATGATAAAATCATCATCATTCCATTCTGAAATTTTTTTTTCTAATACTTCATTTTGTCCCACTCCCCATTGAATGGCATAATCTCAAACCTCAAGTTCATCTAATTTTAAATCCTCTTTTTCCAATATAGACATAAACGTTGTCTTTTCAATTGTTGAAATACCACTAGATTTTAAAAATGCTTCTGGATTACAAGTTAATTTATCACAATATTCTTGAAGCATACTAAATGACTGTTGATGTTGTAATGAAAATCCATAGACATAAATTAAATTTTGTAAAATCCATTCTTTTTTTTTATCAATTAAATATCTTTGTAAATCATCAATTAACTCATCAAAATTTAATTCATCACATGCTTCAAGAAGTTCTAAAATTTCATTTGCAACCAGATTATCAATATCAATAGTTCCATTGTACATATAACTATTAATATTAATTTTAGAAAATTATTAAATAGTTCAATTATTTAACTATTTTAAAATAATCTTACATTAAAAGTACTTTGAATATTTTAGGGGAAATATTTTTTTTTTTCAAATAAAATAATATCACCATCTTCAGATCTTTTACACCAATTACTTGATAGAGCTACTTTAAAATATGATGATCTTGCTTTTAAAATATTGGAATGAACTTTAAAAATTTCCTGGTCTTCTGCTCCAAACTTTGATTTCCATATCATAAAAATCTGATTCTTTTAATAAATTTGTTAAATCATTTACTAGCTTATTGATATATTTTAATGGTAAAGCAACTTTGTTAGCACTTATAAGGTTGTTAATTAAAGGCTTAATATTTTCCAAGGATGAAAAGCTATAACTTTTAAGCATTTTGTAAAAAAAAATTTTTCTCAATTAAATGTAACTCCCATGTTATACGAAATTGGTCGTCAGACTAGGGTTTCGAATTAAAAGATGAATAAAACGGACAAAACAAATAAAATAAAAAAATAAACTTTTAATTCGAATAAACTTATAAAATATAAGCCCTTATTTCTTTAACAAGATAATATAAACAATAATTATATATTACTACTACTACTATAACTTAAGAAAAAAGTAATTAATTAATTAGTGGGATAGTGTTTTCAAGCAAATTAGTCCTTCTTCTGGCAAGAGTTTTGGTTAAAAGGTACTTTTTTTATGTCTATATTTTATTATTAAGATTTTTTTTGCAACACACTGTAATGGATTACGTATCTACTAATTGAACCTTGATGAAATTTTATAATCCCAAATGATAAAATCACACCTCAAGTACTTGCTAAATTATCCTATAATAATATTAATCTATTATTTATCAATATTTGATTATTTATCATTCTTTTTCTTCTTTGGTTAAATAATCATCAATTAATTCATTAACTCATCACATGATTCAAGTAGTTCAATCTGGGGGGGGACTCAAATTAACATTAATAATTCCATTGAAAATATATTAAAAGTAGTGAATAATAATGATTATTGTTAAATTATCATTTAGATATAATATCAGACAGATATTATTTTAAAAAACATACATTCAAATACATATGGTGAGATACATTATTTTTCAAATAAAATAATACCATCATCATTGGTTTTTTATCCAATTGTCTGATAATGCTGTTTTAAAATATGAAGACCATAGAATGGGGTTTAAAAGTTTTAACATCCTGATCTGCTCCAACTCTAAGCATTCTCATTATTAGAATTGTCAAATAACGTTTTTTCCGAGGACAATTAAACCATTGTGAATTAACTTTTTTTGTAAAAAATTTTTTTTTTTTGGATTTGCTGTACCCGAATTTTTTTATCAGATTTTTAGAAAATGTTTAATAATAATAAACATATATTTAAAAAATTTCAATTATCTAATCTTGGTTTGTAATTACAATAAAACTTTTAAAATCGAAACTAGTTAAATATTATAATAGCAATAATGATAATATGTGTTCGTTCATCAATTTCTTAAAAAGACTTTCGAATGAAGTTTCAAACCAACAGTTACATCAACAGCAGTAACAATAAAAGCCTTGATTCAAAGTAAAGTTTCATATATCACAAGGTATTTTGTTGATATATATTATTAACACACGTATAATTACAAATTTTTTTATTGTTGATTAAGGAATAATGAAAAGTTGGATTTTTTGTACGGATACTCTGTGGTTTTACCAGCTCTTGAACAAAAACGTCGAAATTTAGTTCGTTTGTTTTATCAAGAAACAACTTTTTCTAAAAAGCAAGATAGGCAGGTACATGGTTTATTCTTTACTTCTTCTTCTTCTTTGACGCGGTGGTTCAATTGATCTTTCTTCATTCTAATTTAATGGTGTAATTTATTATTATTATTTTAGAATGGCAATTGAAAAGATAGTTAACCTATCAAAAGAATCTTCTATTCCGGTTGTAAAGGCTGATAAGCAAGAATTGAATCGATTGGTGGATAATCGTCCGCATCAGGTTTACATTTTTCATAACATTTTATTCCTGATCTGAAATATCCAAATAATGATCATATTTATAATTCTACAATGATTCCAAAAAGGGTGTAGTTTTAAAAGCCTCACGCATCAATCCAACTCCTATAAAATTTCTTGGAGGCTATTTCAATGAAAGGTAAAATTCCTTTTAGAAACTAAATAAATATTTTTCAAATCCTTTGTTTTCTCATTCATTACATTGGACCCTACGTCTATGTGGTAATTGTTTAGTTATGAAATCATAGAGTCAAATACTAATTCTACAACAATTTGTCAAAAATCTTTAAAAAACCCATTGCTGCCCTTTTGGCTGGCTCTAGATCAAATAGTTGATCCACAGGTTAGGCTCTATTATTATTATTATTATTATTATTATTCTTAGTGTGAAGGATTTTCAATCTTATTAATATTTTTTAATAAACATGGAGTTGGCATAGAATTTAGGAGCCATTTTAAGGTATATATCAATTAATTAATCAATTAAATTAAATATCATTGCTTAAAATTTATTATCATTTCTAATTGTAACAAAAGGTCTGCACATTTTTTTGGTGTTGATGGAGTTGTCCTCTGTACCAAGAATAGGTAAGCTTGATCGGTTATTATCGTATTGTCATAATATCATTATAATTTGTTCTCAAAAATTAAAATATTATATCATATTTGTATTATATTAGCGCACCATTATCATCGGTGACAGCTAAAGCAAGTTCAGGCGCACTTGAAATTATGGATTTATTCGAGGTTGGGAGTTTAACAAAGTTTTTAGAGGTAACATAAAAATCATTGATCACCCATAAATAAATAAAAAGTTCTCTCACATTTAGAACACATTATTTCTTTGTCGAAGAATAGAATTCATCAAAAAATGGGTGGATTATTTATGGAGCTGATGCATTAGAAGGCCCCAAAAGGCACAATGATAATTTTATTTCCGTCAATGAATTATTGTTAACACAATCGATAACTCAAAACCCGATAATTTTAGTGATTGGAAATGAAGGTTACTATCATTATTATCAAGATTATTGTTATTCTGATTATATTTATAATAATAAAAATGCTCCTAATTGATATTAAATATAGGTTTAGGAATTAGACAAAATATCATAAACACATGCCATCATAGAATATATATTCCACCATCACAAAATAGAGACAAATCACAATATATAGATTCACTAAATGTTAACGCAGCAACTGCTATTCTATTGAACACTTTCTTGATGAAAAGAACATCATTATCATCACCATCATCAAGAACATAGAATATTCCACATTCTTCAGCAAATATGATAATATATTTATATATTTGTAAATATAATATTTTTTTTTTTTCAATCAATTTTAATTGAATTAAATTAAATTAAATTTTTTATAAATAAAAAAAAATTAAATCTAGTAACACCGCTACATGATTATTAGTAGCAATATTTAGTATTAAAAAAAGAATAAAAAAATTGTTTATACAAGAAAAAAAAATTCCAAGTTCTATCTATACCATCTATACCAACACGGTAATTACATTTTCAATACATGAAGCTAAAAGATTTTTTCTTTTTTTCTGGTAAAATATCATTTAATTTCATAAATGATAAATGCAATCTCATTGCAAGCCTAGTTTATTTATTGTTTTTTTAAAACAAATTAAATTTATATTATATAAATAAATTATAATTTAAAAAAAAAAAAAAAAAAAAAAAAAAAATAGAAAAAACAAAACAAAATTACCTAAATTCAAATTCATATCCATTGAACTCTAATGCTTCTTCCCAAGCCAACCTTGCTTTATCATATTTACCCTTCAAATATAACCCAACTCCCCATTCCCAGTATGTAAATGGCAAAATGTATTTTTCTTCATCAATTTTATCATTATGATCAAATATCCAATTGAAACAGTGATAAGCTTCTGTATATTTGCCAAGTTGATTTAGTATTGATCCTTTTATCAAAAGCAATATTGCATGTGAATCTATTGTGTAGACCGATGATGATTTTTTTTTATTAATGCCCAAATTCACCAATCTCGAATCAACTATTTCCAAGCAAGTGATTAAACTTTGTTCTTTCATACTAGCAAATCCGTTCCATATAAGTAGTATTTCTAAACCAGGCAATAAAGTATTTTTGAAATCTTTAGACGTGTATTGTTTAACTTTACGCGTTACATATTGCTCTACTAGTATTTGCCTTCCGCCAAATTTACGTACCGACAATGTCGGTACTTCCTTGTACAACGCGATGGCCTCGTCCTTCCTGTTCAACATCTCAAGACAAGCAGCTTGGAAATATCGGAAAAAAGCTGGGCTCCAATAATTTTCATTTGCCAGATTATTAAAACATTCTAAAGCGTTATCCCATTGTAACGTCATTGAATAATTCATTCCCAACTCATAATCACACAATCTTCTTAGTTCAGCTCCAAATCCTGTGGAAAGACGATGGTTAACCGACTTGAATGAACTCGTTGACGCATCTATTTCTCGTTTCAATCGAAGATTACGCCCTTCAAAAAATGAAAAGAAATCAGATCCGGGAAATTGCTTAAGTGCATCACGAATATATGATTCAGCTTTTGGTATCTATAATTTTATAAGATTCTGTTAATAAATTTTTGTTTGCTGTTATATATAGATATTTGTATAAAAGATATGTTTAAAACAAATAACATCACACTCTGTTGTTTATATTTAATAATATACATTATCTGAACCCAAAACTGATGGCGCAAAAGAAGTCATTATAGAATACGATGCCGCAAATCTATAAAAAAATAAAAACCATTATAGTAAAATAATAAAATTAAAAGAAATAAAAAAAATAATAATATAATTTTTTAAAATACATACAATAACGATGCCAATGGAGATCTAATGCCTCTTCCTTTTAAAGCCGCATCCAACAATTCTAAGCCTAATTCTCTATTACCTCGATACCCAATAGCTGATATAATCCTTATAATTTTTCCTGGTAGAAATGATAGTACGAGATTACAAGTTCCGTAACTAAAAAAATATGTATTATTTTATTTATTTATTTTATCTATCATGCAGGAATTAATCATCGTCAACCAATCTACTACTAAACCACCATCACCACCACTATTACTACTAACCCAAATTCTATTCCACCCTGAGTATGTTTATCTAATGGTGTATTAAAACCGGGTCTATTAATTTCGTTCCAAACTGTCTCGTAGTTTTTATATCCTAATAAAATCAAATAACAAGGATTTTTTAGCCTTGTTCTAAACATATTCTTTTCCATTAAATCATTTTCTTCCCTAATAACAATAATAATAGTAATAACAATAACAAAAAAAGAAGTACCTTTTCTTAAATTCAACCCAGCTTTCACATAACTAACCATGCTTTCCTGCAATAGCTGAATGAGTGCAATCAGTAAAACTGATTCTGCTTGAATTACTGTATTTCTTATTTGAGCATTTGTCATATAAATTTTATTATTTGCACCAAAATAACCAAAACCCGATTGGAACATTTTACTTATACTTGCTCCGGGGCTATTATTTGATTTTAATATTTGAATTTGTGCACTTGCTAATTTTTCTGCCATTTTTAAATTCTCAATTGCTAATGATATATCATTTTCATCAAATGTTGTGATTGCTATATTTTTTATTAAGGTACATGATGATGATAGAAACAAATATTAACATAATGATGATGATGATGATGTGTATAGATATTGGTTTTAATTTTCAATTCAAATTTTGTTAGATTCAGCAAACCTTTTAAAAAAGATATACATCCTCGACCTAATGCGTACAAGGGATCTATGTCTGCTTTTTCTGAAAATATATCATTTGCCTCCGAATATTTATTACAAAAAAAGGCTTGAACCTGTTTAAAAATAAAAACAAAAAAATAAAAAAATAGAAAAGGAGAAGGAAAAAATCTTGTATAAATATCATTTTCCATCTAAAAAATATCTAAAAGAAACAAAACATACGCCTTGCCACATTCGTTCATCTAATAGTCACCATAATAAAAAAATTATTTTTTAAATTGTTGTCTTTTGAAATTGACCAATTTTATTCTTTTTTTAAAAAAAATGTACAAACCTTCTTTTTCCTGTTCACTTGCTGATAATAGAACTTTACGTGGATCTACCAGTAAATCAGATTGTTGATCAACTAAACCATCAACATTTTTAAGATTTAATAACATAGAATTTCTAGAGTTTGAGCTCATCGTTTTAAGTTTGTTTTTATACTATATTTAAATTCTTTGTAATTGTAATAGTAGTAATAAAAGAATATTTTTCCGTCAATTTATTTTGTAATACATAAATCTGTTGTTGATCTGTTGATTAATTTTTTAATTTTACACGTTTTCAAAAATAGAATCAAACAGTATTTTTTTTATAAATAAATAAATGTATAAATAAAATATATATATATTAAATATAAATTGATTAAATTTATTGGAAACAGAATTTTTAACATTTAAGTAGATTTATTTAAATTCCTTAATAAGCAAGAATTTGCATTATTATTAAAATCGATTATCCGTGGTTAAATCTCAAAAATTCAAGGGAAAATTTATCAGTATTTAAAAGGGTGAATTTTCCCTGTTCACACACATACCTTTCTCAATATATAAATAAATAATAATTGAAATAAATTTTTAATTATTATCTCTAAAACAACCAAACAACAACAACAAAAGTTATATAACATTAATTGAATAAAAGATGGCTAGTGCCGAGTGGAATGGTCAAGGTCATTATTATTGCCTTTTTTACTTGGGAATTTGAAATTATTTAATTTTAAAAATTTAAAAAAAAAAATCTTTTAGTTATTGCCAAAGTTTCTAAAACCGATGAACCTCGATTTGAAATATTTGAAAAAAACGTTTATGTATGTAACTTATTGTTATATTTATTTTATTATTGTTAATATTTATTTTAATTAATTATAATAATATTGTTGATCAATAGTTTCCACCAAATAGTCTTAACAGAGAATTTCTTGAAGATACCACACATCATACAACTTGTCCAATGAAGGGTAAAGCATCTTATTATAATGTTGTCGTTAATGGTATGTAATAATAATAATAACTTTTAAAATAATTTATTTTTCGAGGTTAAATAATAAATAATATTTAAAATAAATAATAGGGAAAAAACTTGAACATGCAGCTTGGTTTTACCCTAATCCAAAACCGGAAGTAGCTCAACTCAAAGATTATGTTGCATTTTGGAAGGGTGTAGAAGTAACATTAAAATAAAACAATAAAAAAATTTGTTTCCATTATATATTAATTGACGATCCGCGAATAAATGAGAGAGTCGTACATAGAGATCGGCGGAGGAAAATTGATACAAAAATGACTA